TTGACTATAGATCAGTCTATAGTCTTGACTATACATCAGTCTATAGTTTTGACTATAGATTAGTCTATAGCCTTGACTATAGATCAGTCTATAGCCTTGACTATAGATCAGTCTATAGTCTTGATTAAAGATCAGTCTATAGCCTTGACTATAGATCAGTCTATAGCCTTGACTATAGATCAGTCTATAGTCTTGATTAAAGATCAGTCTATAGTCTTGACTATAGATCAGTCTATAGTCTTGACTATAGAACAGTCTATATTCTTGGCTATAGATCAGTATATAGTCTTGACTAGAGATCAGTCTATAAACTTTACTATAGATCATTATCTAGACTTAGCTATAGATCATTCTCTAGATTTGACTATAGATCAGTTTATAGTCTTGACTACCGATCAGTTTATAGTCTTGACTATTTATTGATCAGTCTGTTGTCAAGACTGTAGATCAGTCTATGGTCTTGACTAGAGATCAGTCTATTTTTATCACTATAGGCCAGTCTATAGTTTTGATTAATGATCAGTTAATCGTCTTGACTATAGATCAGTCTACAAACTTGACTAAAGATCATTCTCTAGACTTTACTATAGATCAATCTCTAGATTTGACTGTAGATCGGTTTATAGTCTTGACTATTGATTAGTCTGTAGTCTTGACTATAGATCAGTTTATAATCTTGACTACAGACGAGTTTACAGTTTATAAGCTTGACTATAGATCAGTCTATAGTATTGACTATAGATCGTTCTATAGTCTTGACTATAGATCAATCTATTTTCATCACTATTGATCAGTCTATAGTCTTGATTAAAGACTATAAATCAGCCTATAAACTTGATTATAGATCATTCTCTGGACTTGACTATTGATCTGTTTATAGACTTAATTATAGATCAGTTTATAGTCCAGACAATTCATTGTTCTGTAGTCTTGACCATAGATCAGTTTATAGTTTTGACTATAGATCAGTCAAAAATATTGACTTTAGATCAGTTTATAGTCTTGACTATAGATCAGTCTATAGTCTTGCCTATATTTCAGTCTATAGTCATAACTATAGATCAGTCTATAGTCTTGTCTATAGATCAGTACATAATCTTGACTTTAGATCATTCTATAGTCTTGATTAAGGGTCAGTATATAGTCTTGTCAATAGATCATTTGGTTTACAATTTTGACTATAAGATCAGTCTATAGTCTTGACTATAGATCAGTTTCAGTCTATAGATAATTTTGACTATAAGATCAGTCTATAGTCTTGACTATATATATATATTAAAAATTTGAAAATTAATAAAAAAAATTCTCAAGATTTTCCTCAAAATATTTTTTTAAAATTCTTCAAATAATTAATTTTTTCTAGATCCACTAATTGAGTGGGCAACAAGCATAAACTTGCCACCACATTTCTATCATGGCATAGAAAATTTAGACCAAATGAACAGAAAACGACCACATAAATGTGATTTCTGTTCAAAATCCTATAAAACGAAAGGATGTCTAAATCGTCATATGAGATATGAGTGTCGCGATAGTCCCAATAATCTAACATTTAAATGTTCATCATGTAATTTTCATACAAAACGACGTTATGCATTAATAGCCCATGAAAAGATACACATTTAGAAAAGAAAGAAGATAACGGCATTAAGGGTTTACAATACTAATTAAAATTAAAATCTTATAAATCATATTAATTTATTGCTTTAGATATTAGTAACAAAGAAAAAAAACAACTACTTTTTGCCAAATATTAATTTTAATTATTTATTAAACAACAATTTTTGTAGTTTGTAATTTGTCTTGCTTAAACATTAAGTTCCTTTTGTTTTAATTAATAACAGGGACAAAAAAATATGAAATAAATTTTAACTTTAACTATAAAGAAAACTAAAAACAAAAGTACCACAATACAAATTAAGTGATAATTAATTAAAACAAATAGTTTTTAAAACAAAGCAAAATAAACAAAATAAAACATAACAAAACAAATAATTAACCTGTGTAAACAGTACAATACAATTCACCAAAAATAATTAATTAAAAACAAATAAATATATATTTTTTCTACCGCAAAAAAAAAGAAATAATTTTACCAAGTAAATTATAAACAAAAAGAAACCATAAAAATTACATATTTTTAACAAATTGTAATACTACAAAAGAAAGAATGAAAAAAAGAACCCTAAAGATATTTAAAATATTTAATAAATTGTTAAAAACAAAACTTAACTTTATGCTTAAAAAAATGATATTGATACAAAAAAACACGTAATGCTAATAATTTATTTATAACTTTAATTTATTATAAACTTTTTTTGAATTAAGAAACTAAATAATTTAATTAAGTTGAAAAACCGTTTGTTTCAAAAGTTTTAAGCAAAGTTTATGGATATAAGATCGAAATCGGAAAGTTTTAAGATCAGTCTATAGTGTTGGTTATAGATCAGTCTATAATTAAGACTATAGATCATTCCATAGTGAAGCCTATAGATCAGTCTATAGTCTTGACTATAGATCAGTCTATAGTCAAGATTATAGATCAGTCTATAGTCAAGATTATAGATCAGTCTATAGTCAAGACTATAGATTAGTTTATAGTCAAGACTATAGATTAGTCTTTAGTCAAGACTATATATCAGTCTATACTCAAGACTATAGATCTGTCTATAGTCAAGACTATAGATCAGTCTCCAGTCTTGACTACAGATCAGTTTATAGTCTTGACTTGAGATCATTCTATAGTCTTGACTTCAGATCAGTATTGCCTTGATTATAGATATAGATCAGTCTATAGTCTTGAATACAGATCAGTTTATAGTCTTTACTATAGATCAGTCAAGATTACATAGTGAAGACTATAGATCAGTCTATAGTCAAGACTATAGATCAGTCTATAGTCAAGACTATAGATCAGTCTATACTCAAGACTATAGATCAGTCTATACTCAAAACTATAGATCAGTTTACAGTCGAGACTATAGATCAGTCTATAGTCTTGACTATAGATCAATTTATAGTCTTGTCTTGAGATCAGTTTATAGTCTTTACTATAGATCAGTCTATAGTCTTGTCTATACATCAGTCTATAGTCTTGACTATAAATCAGTCAATAGCCTTATCTATAGCCTTGATGATAGATCTGTCTTTAGTCTTGAATATTTGTCACTCTATAGTCTTGACTTCAGATCAGTCTATGGTCTTGACTAATAATCTGTCTATATTCTTGGCTATAGATTAGTCTGTAAACTTGACTGTAGATCAGTCTATTGTCTTGACTATAGATCAGTATTTTGTCTTGAGATCATTTTATAGTCTTGACTAAGTTGCTGTCTATAGTTTTGACTATAGATCAGTAACTATCACTATAGATCAGTCTATAAACTTGACTGTAGATCAGTCTATAAACTTGACTGTAGATCAGTCTATTGTCTTGACTATAGATCAGTCTTTTGTCATGACTTCTGTCTACAGTATTGACTAAAGATCAGTCTATAGTCTTGACTATATATCAGTCTGTAAACATTGATTATAGATCAGTCTTTTGTCTTGAGATCTGTCTATAGTTTTGACTACTGATCAGTCTAAGGTCTCGACTAAAGATCAGTCTATAGTCTTGTCTATAGATCAGTCAGTAGTCTTCATTATCGTTAAGATTATAGTCTTAACTAAATCAGTCTATAGTCTTCATTGTAGATCGGCTTGACTCTAGATCATTCTGTAAACTTGACTGTAGATCAGTCAGATCCCTTTCATTTGGGTTAAAGTTTAGCTTAATTAAATTATTATTTTCTATTAAATTTATAAAAACTTAACAAATTAAAAAAAAAAACATTCCTTAATATTTAAAAAAAAACTTTTCTTTAAAAATTAACATTTTATATTTATACTCATTAAAATCTAAAGATGATATTCTCTTATAAAAATTATGACATATTTATTATTAAGATATTTTTATACTCTTATACAATATAACTTACTATATATATACTTATAATATATTTTTGTACTTTTTAATAAAACTATTTTGGAAATAAAATGATTTTTTTTAAATATTTCTTTAAAATAATAAAATAATTAGTTTTAAGCAGGGAATTGTTTTGTTTTTTTTCTCTCTCTTTCTTCCTTTTGCTCTTCAAACAAAAAGAGATTTTATTTGCAGGTTTATTTAGCAAAGATTGCTTAAAGAAAAGCTTCATCATCATCATCATCAACTAAAACTCATACTACCATCTTCATCATCATCATTTTAATTACCATCATGATCATCATTATCATCTCCAACAACGCTTGACATTTAGCTCATAATGGTTTAAAAAAAAAAAAAAAATAAACTCCCCAGCTTGTTTAACTTAAAAAACCGCCAGTGCTCGCTTGCTCAGTAACTAGTCTAGACAGCTCTCTCTCTCATTTTGCGCCAAAATAAAAAAAATCCTTACAACAATATAAATAGCAACAACACCATTAAAATGTATCACCAACACCACTAAAAACAAAACTCTCTCTCTCTAAAAAAAACTCAAACCAATAACTGTAAATATCATTTTTTTTATATAAATATTCATACATTTTATTATAATTTTTTTCTTTATAAAAATATTTTATTTTGTTTTGTTTTATATTTATAAAAAAAATACTTTTTGCCATATTTTTTTTGTATTAAATTAAAACCCAAAAAACAACATGCTTAAAAACGCATTTAACTAAACTTTTGCTAATTTTTTTTTACTAAAAAAACTCAAAATATTTTCTTTAAATTTACCAAAAAACAACAAAAACAAAATAAATATTAAAAAAAAATCTTTAATATAAATAAAACTCTCTTATTATAATTTATATTTTTTAAATTTTAACTCTTAAAACCAGTTTCAAAAAAAAATCTAAATCTCTTTTTTTTCTCTCTTTCTTTTTATTTCCCAAAAAAAATATATACCTGTATATTTTTAGCTTGTGGCGCCAGCAGCTGTTCATCGTCATCTTTATCAAATCCTGGCAATTCAAATTGTCAAACATCACCGCCTCCACCACCCCCTCAGTCACTGATACGTGACTATTGGTATGAATTGAAATTTTCGGATTTATTTAAATTTATCAATGCCGATGGTCGCTATCAATGTCCACGTTATAATTGTTTAAAAAGTTATAAAGATGCTAGCTCTCTACAGCGACATATCAGGTAAGTCTTAAGATTTCTTCCAATTATTTATTTAATTATAAGTATTTTCTTTTCGACTTCATATTAGTTTTAATTGAAAAAATAAAGACAAAATCATTATGTCCATATTAAGTTTCAAATTCATTTAAAAAATATTTCTTATTTTATGCCTTGGAGGCTTCTTCGCACATTACCGCCTTTGCCAACCCCTTTAAGATTTTAGCTTTACAAAACTAACTTTGTTGTTGCCTTGTTCAGTATATCGAATTAGTCTGTACTTTTGACTATATATCAAACTACAGTTTTGACTATAGATCAGTTTATAATCTTCACTATAGAAAAGTTTATATATAGTCTCAGTCTAGATGTTTGACTATAGATCGCTCTAAAGTCTTGACTTTAGATCAGTCATAAATCTTGACTATAGATCAGTCTATAGTCTTGACTATAGATCAGTCAATTGTCTTGAATGTAGATCAGTCAATTGTCTTGACTATAGATTAGTCTATAGTCTTGACTATAGATCACTCTATAGCATTGACTATATATCATTCTATAGGCTTGACTATAGATCAGTCCATAATCATAACTATAGAACAATATGTAGTCTTGACTATAGATCAGTCTGTAATCTTGATTAAAGATTAGTATGAAGTTTTGACTATAGATCAGTCTATACTCTTGACTATAGATCAGTCTATACTCTTGACTATAGATCAGTCTATAGTCTTGACTATAGATCAGTCTATAGTCTTGACTATAGATCAGTCTATAGTCTTGACTATAGATCAGTCTATAGTATTGACTATAGATCAGTCTATAGTCTTGACTATAGATCAGTCTATAGTCTTGACTATAGATCAGTCTATAGTCTTGACTATAGATCAGTCTATAGTCTTGACTATAGATCTGTCTATAGCCTTGACTTGACTTTAGATTAGTCTAGATCAGTCAATAGTCTAGACTAAAGATCAGTCAATAGTCTTGATTATAGATCAGTCTATAGTCTTGACTATAGATCAGTTTTTAGTCTTGAATATAGATCAGTCTATAGTCTTGATTATAGATCAGTTTTTAGTCTTGATTATAGATCAGTTTTTAGTCTGGAATATAGATAAGTCTATAGTCTTGACTATAGATCAGTCTGTAGTCTTGCCTATAGATCAGTCTATAATCTTGACTGTAGATCAGTCAATAGTCTTGATTATAGATCAGTCTATAGATCAGTCTATAGTCTTGACTATAGATCAGTCTATAGTCTTGATTATAGATCAGTCTATAGTCTTGACTATGGATCAGTCGATAGTCTAAACTATAGATCAGTCTATAGTCTTGACTATAGATCAGTCTATAGTCATGATTATAGATCAGTCTATAGTCTTGACTATAGATCAGTCTATAGTCTTGACTATTGATCAGTCTATAGCCTTGATTATAGATCAGTTTTTAGTCTTTACTATAGATCAGTCTATAGTCTTGACTATAGATCTTGACTATAGATCAGTCTATAATCTTGACTGTAGATTAGTCAATAGTCTTGATTACAGATCAGTCTATAGTTTTGACTATAGATCAGTCTATAGTCTTGATTATATATTAGTCTATAGTCTTGACTATAGATCAGTCAATAGTCTTAATTATAGATCAGCCTATAGTCTTGACTATAGATCAGTCTATAGTCTTGACTATAGATCAGACAATAGTCTTGACTATAGATCAGTCTATAGTATATAGCTTAATTATAGATCTGTCTATAGTCTTGTTTATGGATCAATCTGTAATCTCTACTGTAGTCTTTAGTCTTGGCTTTAGATCAGTCTATAGTCTTGATTATAGATCAGTCTATAGTCCTCACTATAGATCAGATTATGGATCAGTCTGTAATCTTTACTGTAGTCTATAGTTTTGTCTATAGATCAGTCTATAGTCTTGACCACAAATCAGTCTATTGTCTTGACTATAGAGCAGTATATATTCTTAACTGTAGATCAGCTTAAAAAAGCTTTAATTTAAGCTTTTTACATTGTACATTTTTACATATTAACTACAACTTTTCTATAATATTTTTAATTACAAAGCTTTTTCTAAATATATTAACAATCTGAAGAAAGCTTTATTTTTGAGATAAAAAGCTTTAAGGAAATCAATTAAATTTTTAAATAGGGTAAAAGCTTTTGTCTCTATACCTCAAGCAATCTTTATAGTTTGAGTACAAAACAAGCTTTTCGTTTAAGCTTAAAAGCTTAACATATTCAATAGAATTTTGATAAATTTCGTTTTAAGTGTGTCTTAAAAACAACTTTTTTTTAATGATTAGTGGTCTACAAAAAGCTTAATTTTAAAGTCCAAACGCTTTTAGAATACTAATTAAAACTTTATAAAGAGTAAAAGCTTTAGTAGCCAACCTCAAGGGCTCTTCAAAGTTTTAGTTTAAAAAAGCTTTTCGTTTAAGCTTAAAAACTTAACTTATACAATAGATTTATTGAAAATTTCGTTATTAGCCAAACTCATATATTTTACGAAGTAGTAGTATAAAATAAGCTTAAAAGCTTAACTTATTTTGAATGTTATTGAAAAAAAAGCTTTTAAATTGTGTTATTTTCTTAAGGTATAAAACAAAGTACTAACAAGTCATAGCTTTAGTTTAAGACAAGCTTTAAAGCTTAAGCTGTTATTGTGGCCAATGAATGCATGCTCAAGTTTAGCACCCCCTCACTACTTTAAGCCGCTCCCCCCATTCATAACAACATTTGTTCAGTTTAACATTTAAAGCATGAAAAACATCATGAAAAACATTTGTGTAAAATTTCTTACCATATTTTTTTGTTGTATTTCTCTCTCTCTCTTTTCCATTTCTCTTTCTTTTTTTGAATTATGACGCACAATTGAAAATGTTTGAAAAAAAAAACGAAAATTTTAGATATGAATGTGGTGGTCAGAAAAAATTCCGCTGCCTTATGTGCGGTAAAGCATTTTCACAAAGCTCCCACCTAAAACGACACCTGGAATCTGGTGTCTGTGTTAAATATTACTTATGAGATAATGTTTTCTTTAAAATAACATAGAATTAGCAAAAATTTCATAATCATAATAATTATTATAATTATAATAAAATACTGACGAAGAAAAACAAAAAGAAATTAACACCAAAAATACAAAAAATGAAACAATATAAAAATTATTATAATTATTATTATAAAATTATTAATAATAATGAAATTAGTAAAAAACCAAGTACCAAATATAAACAAACAAAAAATACACATAGAACAAAAACAAAAACAAACAACAACAAATACAAACAAACAAAAAACATATTTAAAAAAACAAATGGAAAAATTTATAATAATAAAAAAAAATTTCATAAATTGTAATTTTAAAACAAAACCCCAAGAAAGAAGTAAATGAGCTGTTAAAAATATATATATAGAGAGTATAAAAATTAATTAAAAACATATATATATTTACCAAACAAACAACAACAAATATCTAAGTCAAACAAACAACCAACCAAACAACATACAAATGTTAATTAATTTACTGAACAAGAAAATTTAAAAAAAAAACTTTATAAATTTTAAAAATAACAACAAAAAAAATCCCCCAAACTCCCCCTTTAAAACAAAAACAATTATATATGAAAAAAAAGGATAACAAAACGAATTTATTGGATGCCACATCATCATATTTTTTATTGAAACAAAGAAAAAAAAACAAAAAAAAAAAAAATGTTTAACAAATTATTAACAAAATGAAAGTAAATAATAATATACTTATATATATTGTTAATTTTTTTTAATAGTCAAAATAGTAGTTAATTATAAATTAACCTAAAAAAATATATAATTATAAATTAAACCAAAAGGAAAAAAAACCCACATTTAAACAAAACAAAACTTAGTTTAGTTCAAAAGGAAAGTAAACACAATAACAACTACAACAACAAATTTAACTATAAACAAAATGCAATTTTTACTAAATAATTAATTAATTTTTTTGTTTTTAAACAAAAAATTTAACTAAATTTTAAAGTTAAATTGAAGAGGTAAAGGAAATAGGTCTTCTGGTAGGAAAGCTTTATTTTAAAGTTCAAAAGCTTTAAGAAACCCTTATTAAAACTTTAAAAAGTGTAAACGTTTTAGTTTCTATACTCATAGACTCTCTATGGTTTTAATATAAAACAAGCTTTTGGTTTAAGCTTAAAAGCTTAACTTATTCAAAAATTTCGTTATAAGCTTTTCTTAACCTCTTTAATGATTAATTATGCGCAAAAAGAACTTAATTTCAAAGTTCAAAAGCTTTAAGGGAACTCATTAAAACTTTATAAAGTCTAAAAGCTTTATGAAACTCAAATACAACTTTAAAAAGTGTAAACGTTTTAGTCTTTATACTCATAGACTCTTCATGGCTTTAGTATAAAACAAGCTTTTGGTTTAAGCTTTAAAGCTTAACTTCTTCATAAATTTCGTTATTAGATTTTCTTAATCCCTTTAATTATTAATTATGAGCAAAAAGTGCTTAATTTTAAAGTTCAAAAGCTTTAAGGAAATCCATTGAAATTTGACAAAGTTCACAAGCTTTAAGAAACCCATATTAAAACTTTAAAAAGTGTTAACGTTTTAGTCTCTACTCAAAGACTTTTCATTACTCATTAACTTTTTAAGTTCAAAAGCTTTAAGAAACCCAAATTAAAACTTTAAAAAGTATAAACGTTTCTATACTCATAGGCTCTTCATGGCTTTAGTATAAAACAAGCTTTTAGTTTAAGCTTTAGAGCTCAACTTCTTCATAAATTTCGTTATTAGATTTTCTTAATCTCTTTAATTATTAATTATGAGCAAAAAGAGCTAAATTTTAAACTTCAAAAGCTTTAAGGGAACTCGTTAAAACTTGACAAAGTTCAAAAGCTTTAGTATCCAAATTCAAGGAACCTTGAAAACAAATGATACGTTTAAGCTTTAAAACTTGTCATATTCAGTTTTTATAGATTTCCTTTTACAGTTCAAAAGCTTTAAGGGAAT